CCCCCCCCCCCCCCCCCCCTGAAAATTGAACGCCACCCCATAATAGAAAGGCACCCGGAATAGAAGGCCACCCCGGACCGTTTGATTCTCTGGACATAATATAACGCCATACCAATTTCAAGGGAAAATGCGAAAAAAATTCCGACAAGACATAATACAACGCCACCAAAAAAAGACCGATTCACTGGGACATAATAGAAGCGCATGCCTTTTTATTCTGAGGGGAGTTTAGACATTTTCAATTATTTTTATGGCTGCCAACCGCTAGAGCTTGAAAAATTAGTCTAATGGTCAAAATTTCATGTTATGATAACAGTGTCTTCCCAAAAAGTTGTCAGAAGAAAATTGTATATATTTAAAAAAGGTTCATTTTGACACTGGAATGACCGTTTTTTTCCAAAATTATGCTTTTTTTTTGGTGTAACAAACTCAAAACCGTAGAGAACTCGAGATTTGGGGTAAGAAAGATGTTTCTGGCTAAATTTAAGCGAATAAATATTCTATGAATATCCTAATAATGAAGAATATGCCGCATAGAGTTGTTAGGACTATTCCAAGAATAAAAGGATTTTGAGAGCTCTCATTGTGATATTTTTAACCAGCATCTCTCAATCTACTGTTACATCTGACTTTAACTCGTGAAAAAAAAAATTTTTTTTCATGATACCCGAGGGGGGACCCCAGGCACAAAAATCATGAATATCGATTTTCGAGGAATAAAGTTGAAAAAAGTGATCAGAGACACTCAAACTTTCTTTAAGTCAGAAAACGCTCACGCTCATGAGTGCTCATGTGAGCGTGAGCGGGAAAATGCTAATACGAGCGCTCATGAGCGTGAGCTGCACAGCCCTATCCACACCCACACCCACACCCCACACCCACACATCTCCACCCCCACCCCCCCCACCCTTTGTAGCTTTTTTCACTTAAATTAATGGTATTTTCTTTGCCAAAGAAAAGTACATCATATGCTGTTCTTCCGTTAAAATACGTCGCAAGACAGCATTCTCAATGTTTACTCATAAGCATGCCATGTTTTTTTTTCTTTCTCTCCCGGGTTATTTTTGCTTTGTTTTAATTGTAGGCATTTCATAAGTGCTCTCATAGCTTGGCCAAGTTTCATTCTTGATCATGTAGGTATTTTTTCTTCGTTGCAACTATAAACTGATATTTAGAACACTTTGTTGATCTGTAGGCAGGCGCGGCTTGTTCAGTTGTATCACAAGTGAGTGAATAGTGTTTTTTCAGCTTTTTTCAATTTATTATGTTGATTAGATTCACTAGATATAAAGCTGGCCACACTAAACATACGTTACAAGTTGACAATAATGGGCCTGCTGCATTTAGTTATACTGAGAAAGGGAAAAAACGACAAGATAGACCAAGTATTGTATTTGTTCATGGACTTTCTTCTAACAAAGAAACATGGATACCAATTATCAAAGTTAGTGAACTTTGGATAATAATAATGTCTAGACAATTTGTTTTTTATGTGTAGGATATTCCATCTGATTATCATTGTATCACTGTTGATCTGCCTGGTCATGGAGACACAGTTGGCTTGAATGAAGACATTTACTTGATTGAAAAGTTTGTCGATAAGCTTAAATTGGTACAGTTCATCATCGAAAAAATTCTGAAACTCTGTAAAGCTATCAATTTTTAAGCACTACTTCCGGCGAGATTTTTTTTATATCTTAGCTCTATCATACGGACGTATAAAGATCAAGGCGGAAAGGTAGATTTCTGTACTTCAGAAGTATAGAAGTCTGCTCTTCCCTTTGATAAGGATGCATTTTGTTGAGATCGAAACGATAACTGGTCGGGTAGATAAAAAGATTGAAATGACAATGGGTAGGGCCGTACAATCAATATATGATTGATTATGTTAGGTTTAGACAATGATTAAGTTCATGACGTTTTTAAACTACAGCGGTAGTTACAAGGTTAAACAACAAACTAGTATGAACTGATACTCATCAATATTCAACGAGATTTTCATGAAATGTAAATACTTACAAAGCCACGGATTAATTTCAAAAACATCATTTTTTTTGTCCTGTTTTTATTTCATTGGTAGCGCTATAGGACCTGTGGGTAATTTGTTGGATAGGACTTGAAAAATTACAGAAACTCCCATGTGATAGCCTTTGAGGATTTTTGGGTACCGGCTAATAGCTATAAAGAAAATTGCAGTTATGTGTTGTAGTCAGTAATCACCCTAATTAGTTGGGTGCCAATTAGATGTAAAGTACCGATACGTAGATGAGCTCGAAATTTGAAGTTTTCGCACGTTGAAGCTCAATTTTTTTTTGACTTTTTCATATGGTATCTTGTTACTAGTTCTTTGACGAAATGGAAATGACCGAGCCCATGTGTATTGTCGGTTCATCGATGGGTGGTGCTATCGTGGGCGTTTTTGCTACTAAATATACGGAATATGTCAGCATGATTTGTTTACTATCACCGATAGGTAAGTGTCACACATTCTTTAAATATTTTTCTTTACGTAGTTTTGGTCTATCTGTTAAAATAGCAAATGAGGAGTGTGAAACTGATTTGATTCGACAACTGCATGGGGGTGTATACAATGGCCTTTTACCAGAGACAGGAAAACAACTTCGTCAAACGATCAATACATTGACAGTGACGAGACCTAAGTTTCCTAAAGTACTTCTTAATGGATTCTTACACTTGAGATTGCGTCGATTAGAGGAACACAAGAAAGGTATCGTACAAAAGAATTTATTCATACTGATATATTTCAACTTTTTAGTACTTACTTCACTTCTTGAGCATGAGCATCAAAATATCGAACGTCACTATGATAAGTTACGACAGTTCAGTCGACCAGCTTTGATATTATGGGGTCGTCAAGATATGGTATGAATGACGAAATCGAATACTTTCAAACGAAATCTTCTCTACATTTAGGTATATTCTGTCGATGGTGTGGAATATTTTTCCAATTTGATGCCTCATGCGGAGTCTGTTATCCTCGACGATTGTGGTCACCTTTTGTCTATCGACAAACCCAAAGAAACAGCTAGACTTATCTTAACTTTCTTTGATAATCATGTCGACTACTAGGCACAACTATTGTCAGTAGCGAACGTCGGACAATTCGATTGAGCAATGATTGGGAATCTAACTTTTGATTTTTGTATGGAAAAGCGCTATGTTTGTGTTTTATTTTTACACCGAGAACCATAATCACACCGACCGTACTAGGACCTTATTTAGGCGGATACCACAGGAAACGGTGACGTTTATGAGATAATGTTTCTGATTGCATATTATGTTTGAATGATATTAGGTTCTTTAGTCGTCTCAGCGATATGTGGAAAAAAATATTTTCATCATAGCAGTTACTAAAGAATGTAGAATCCTCTGCTTTTGTGGAAATCACATATTTCCGAAGACAACAGTGAGTGTAAGTTGTATAACATGGGTTTGCGCCCCTCCCCCAGACTCCAGCAACGATGACGCGCGAAATCAATATGTTTGAAATAAATTTTCATAGTAACCAGAGGTAGGCAAAATCAAATATTATTGTAGGAGCTAGTGGCGGAGCCAGAATTTTTCGGGATGGTGGATCTCAGTTTTAAAACATGGGTCTCAGTTGAAATCGATGGGGGATAATATTGGCTTCAAATGATGAGTTTCTATCAACTGATTTTTGCGATCTGATTTTGCCAAAAAAATTAGCATTTTCTTGAGCCCCCCAAGAAATTTTTAATATTGTCAATGGTAGCTCACTTTTAGAATGCCATCATATGCTACACTGAATTTAATCGACAAATTTCAAATTTCATATAAAAATATCGATCCGCTCAGGAATTACGATGTTTTGGATTTTTAGGTCGTTTTGTACAAATTGGGACAGAAATTCAAAACATTATAATTCCTGAACGGATCGATATTTTAATATGAAATTTGAAATTTGTCGATTAAATTCAGCGTAGCATGCGATGGCATTCTCAAAAGTGAGTTACCATTAACAATATTAAAAATTTCTTGGGGGGAGCTCAGGAAAATGCTAATTTTTTTCGTGAAATCCGATCGCAAAAATCAGTTGATAGAAACTCATCATTTGAAGCCAATAT